CATGCCTGTAATCCCAGTGATTTGGGAAGCTGTGGCAAGAGGATCACAAGTTCAAAGCCAGCCTCAGCAATTTAGTGAGGCCCTGAGCAATTTARTGAGACTGTCTCAAAATTTAAAAAACTAAAAAAGGCTGGGGATATTGCTCAGTGGTTAAATGCCCCTGGGTTCAATTCCTGGTGCCAAAAAATGAATTAAATGGATAATCTAAATAGCCCTATGTGTATTTTCAATTGAATTTGTGGTCTAAAGCCTTCCTATAAATTAGACTCTGAGCACATATGGTCCCCTTGGTTATTTCTCCCTCTTCCTACCCAAACACTGGTAGTTTCTACCAAACTTATAAAAAGAAGCAGCACAAATTCTCAACAAACTCTTACAGAAAATTGAACAGAAGGGGATTCTTCTGACTCTCTAAAGCTAGTGATATACTGATGCCATAACTAAAGTCATTACAAGAAAACTACAGAAAATATACCTCATAAATATAGATGCAAAAGTTAATAAAATTTTAGCAAACCAAATACAAGATATAAAAAGAATAATATATCATAGGTAAGTGGAATTTATCCCCCAAATGCAAAGTTTGCTTCACATTCATAAGTTAATATAATTCAGTGTATTGACAGACCTAAAGAGGAAAAACAATTATCCCTATAGGTGCAGTAAAAGCTTTTAATAATACTCAGTGTCTATTCCTAATTTAAAATATCTTGACATACTAGGAAAAGCAGAAAATTTCCATAACCTGATAAAGAGCACCTTAAAAAAAGTGTAGCTACTATCATTACTCAATGTTAGAAGACTAAATGTTTTACCCTAATATTAAAGACAAAGCAATGGTGCTGTTTTTATCACCTCTAGGCAACTTTATATTGATGGTCCTATACCCCCTTAACAAGTCAGAAAAGAAGTTAGAATACACATGTATATGAACAGTGGAAATAAAACTGCCCCTGTTAGCATATGACAGGAATGCATATGTAGGAAACCCCAAAGAATGTACCAAAAAAAAAAAAAATCTACAACGTCTAAGAACTGAGTTTAGTGTACAAGATGGACATGTGAAAATCAATTGTATTTCTGTATATTAGTTGTGAACGATTGAAGATTGAAATTAAAAAGCAATACCAGTTATACAAAAAAAAAATATGAGGGCTAGCTAGGGCTGTGGCTAAGTGGCAGAGCACTTGCCTAGCACATGTGAGGCACTGAGTTTGATCATAGGCACCACATAAAAATAAATAAAATAAAGGCATTATGTCCATTTATGACTAAAAATTTTTTTAAAAAAATGTTATGCTGGTTTGCAGGTACTTGGATGGAGTTGGAGAAGATAATGCTAAGTAAAGTTAGCCAATCCCCAAAAAAACAAATGATGAATATTCTCTCTGAAATGAGGAGGCTGAGTCATAGTGGGGTAGGGAGGGGTACCATGGGAGGAATAGACAAAACTCTAGAAGGGAGGGGGCATGGGGTTAGAAATGATGGTGGAATGAGATGGACATCATTATCCAAAGTACGTGTATGATGACATGAATTGTATGAAGACACTTTGTATACAACCAGAGATATGAAAATGTGCTCTATGTGTGTAATATGAATTGTAATACATTCCCCTGTCATATATAACAAATTAGAATAAAAAAATTAAAGTAAATAAATAAATAAGATATGCTGGGACTGGGACTCAAGCAGTAGCATACTTGCCTGGCATGTGTAAGGTACTGGGTTCTATTCTCAGCACTGCATATAAATAAATAAAATAAAGGTCTATCAACAACTAAAAAAATATTTTTTTAAAAAATATGATATGCTGTGTTTAGTCAGCTTTTCATCTCTGTGACAAAATACCTGAGAGAACTTATTTATTTATTTATTTGGTGCTGGGGATTGAGCCCAGAGGCACTTTATCACTGAACTATATCCCCACTCCTTTCTTATTTATTTTTGTTTATTCTGAATAAACAAAATTTAAAGGAAGAAAGATTTGTTTTGGCACATAGTTTCAAAGGTTCCAGTTGACCGTTGGCAGCTCCATTGCTTTGGGCCTGGTTTGAGGCAGAACATCAAGGTAGAAGGATATAGTGGAGGAAAGCTCTTACCTCATTATAGTCAGGAAGCAGAGGGAGTAAGAAAAGGGCTAGGAACAGGATAAAGTCCCCAAAGGCATGCTCCTGAGGAACCACTCCCTTCAACTCAGTTCTAACCCCTACAGTTTTCACCACCCGCCGGAGTCCRTCCAAATTATTAATCCATCAATTGATTAACCCAAAGATGAGGTTACAGCCCTCATGACTGAGTCATTTCCTAAAAGCCCCTCCTCTGGATATTGCTGCATTGGGGACCAAGACTTTGGGGTTTTTCCAGATCTAAACTTTAACATATGCTTAGTGATAAATCTGACAAAAGATGTATAAAGTCCTATATGTTGGAAAGTAGGCTAATTTTTTCTCAGAAATGCTTTGTAGTTTTTTTCAGAGTATAGCCCTAAATAAATGAAGAAATATGCTATGTCCAGGGGTCAAAAGACAAAATACTGTTAAGATTTTAATTCTTGGGGCTGGGGATATAGCTCAGTTGTTAGAGTGCTTGCCTCACATGCACAAGGCCCTGGGTTCAATCCTCAGCACAMAMAAAAAWAATATAATTCTTTCCAAATTGATTAATAAAGTCAATACAATCCCAATCAAAGATATTAGTAGAAGTTTTTGTTTTGTTTTGGTACCAGAGATTGAACCCAGGGGCACTTAACCACTGAGCCATGACCCCAGCCCTTTTTTATGCTTTATCTTGAGACAGAGGTCTCCTGAGATTGCTGAGACTGACCTTGAATCTTCTGTCTCAGCCTCCAGAGTCACTAGGATTACAAGTGTATACCACCACATCTGGCTCAGCAGGCTTTTAACATTTTTTTTTTATTTTTTTTATTTTTTAGTTCTCGGCGGACACAACATCTTTGTTGGTATGTGGTGCTGAGGATCGAACCCGGGCCGCACGCATGCCAGGCGAGCGCGCTACCGCTGAGCCACATCTCCAGCCCTCAGCAGGCTTTTAAAAATGTATATTTGATAGCATTTCACAGGCTGATTTTAAAATTCATTTGGAAATGCAAAGAGAGAAAGCTGTGTAGATAAAGACAGTTTTTAAGTTTTATGTGTTTTAGTGTGTCACTCCAGAGAAAGAAGCCCAAGAAAAAGAAAAGGGGTCGGGGGAGAGATTGGAATAATTGAAGTTCAAAATGGTAGAACTAAAACTACCTGGTTTCAAAAATAATTATAAAGACTTCAGTAATCAAGGTACTGTGGCATTGGCATAAAGAAAGACAAATAGATTAATATAACAGACTAGAGAAACTATAAACTCAAAGATACGGTCAACTGATTTTCAACTGAAGAGCCAATTCAATTTAATGGTGAGAGAATAGTCTTTTTAACAAATGGAGCTGCAATAATTATTTTTTTTAAAAAAGAACCCTAGAGGCTGGGGATGTGGCTCAAGCGGTAACTCATTCCCCTGGCATGCGTGGGGTGCTGGGTTCRATCCTCGGCACCACATAAAAATAAAGATGTTGTGTCCACTGAAAACTAAAAAATAAATATAAAAAAAGAACCCTAATCTATGTATGACATCATATACAAAGATTAAGACAAAGTGGATCATAGACCCAAGTGTAAAATCCAGAAGTCTAAAAGGTCTAGAAAAATACATAGGAGAAATGTGCCATTGGGTTAGGCAAAATTTGCTTACTTATCACACCAAAAGCAGGAACCACTAAAGGAAACAATAAACTAGACTTGAAACTTATGTTATTTGAAAAACACTATTAGAWGAAGAAAAGGACAAGTCACAGAATGGGAGAAAATACTTGCAAATCACCCATCTGATAAAGAAGTTGTATTCAGCTAGGGATGAAGGCACATGCCTGTAATCCCAGTGACTACAGAGGCTAAAACAGGAGGATCTCTAGTTCAAAGGCAGCTCAGAGATGGGCATGGTGGCGCACACCTGTAATCTCCAGCAACTCCGGAGGCTGAGACAGGAAGATCATGCATTCAAAGCTAGCCTTAGCAATGGTGAGGCGCTAAGCAACTCAGTGAATCCCTGTCTCTAAATAACAAAATAGGGCTGAGGATGTGGCTCAATGGTTGAGTGCCCTTGAGTTCAATCCCCAGTACCCTCCACCCCAAAGAAGTTATATTCAGCAGGATAATCCCAGCATCAAGGAAGCTGAGGTTAGAGGATCTCAAATTCTAGGCCAGCTTTAGCAATTTAGTGAAACCCTGTCTCAAAATTAAAAATAAAAAGCACTGGGGATGTCACACAGTTGTAGAGTGCCCTTGGGTTCTATCCCCAGTTCCATAAAAAAAGAAAAGAAAAAGAAAGGAAACTGATTGGTAGTTATCTGGGGATTAGGGTCCGTGACAGGGAAGGCTTGTAGAAGTCTTATAAAGAGGCATGAAAAACTTTTGGAGGTCATGGGTAAATTCATTAATTTAATATAATATAAAATGTGCTAGGGATGCAGCTTAGTGGTAGAGCACTTGCCTAGCATGTAGAAGTCCCTGGGTTCAATCCCCAGAATTGCAAAAGAAAATAGACATTGTTATTGTTGCTAGTTGGAACAGGGAAATTCTGCCTGGAGAGTGAGAAAGTACCAATATTTATATCTTTTTCCTCTCTCTCTCTCTCTCTCTCTTTCTTTTTTTTTTTTTTTTTTTTTTTGTTTCTAGTGCTGGGGATTGAACCCAGGACCTTGAGCATGCTAAGCAAGCCTTAATTTACTTCTTAAATGGATTCATTAATTCCTAATCTGAAGAGATTAACATCAATTTGGATCTTGTTATCCATTAGTCAGGTGAAATCATCATTTGAAGTCAATATTTTCTCAAATACAGTTAAATATCATCAACAAAAAATGAGTTCTAAAAAAAAAATGTACCTGGTGATGAAAAGTTTAAAAAAAAACTTGTAATCTATAAATTTTCTGATTCACTACCTACCTCTTTGGCTCGTATGAGCTGTGCTTTTTCAATCCTAGAGATGACTGTCTGTACGGACAATGGGATTTCAAGGTAAGAGACCACTGGAACATCAAGGGTACTTCCAGGCTTTCTTCTCATGGTCGAGGCATCATTCTCTTTTTCTGATTCAGAATCACTATCTACCTCATTTCTCATTTTGGTAAATGTTTGAAATTTTGGGTGTTTTTCTTTTATTCTTTTCCACAGAATATAGGCAAATGCTAATAAAAGTGTTTCCACTAGGAAGCCAGAAGCCTGCTCCTAGAGATTGTGACTTAGCCTACTACCAACTGATTCCTAACCATGGTATTCCAGACCCAGTGATGTCATAATAGATCCACTGTGACATTAATATTGACTCATACATTTTAAAAGTGCTTACTATATGCAGAGAACTAGGCATTCTATATGCTGTGTTGGTAGACGGGTGAAGGGGGGAGGGAGGGGAGGAAAGAATAGACAACAGGAACACTAAAAGAAATAGAAGACGTAGCCCTGCTTAAATGAACTTGAAATCTAGGTGTTAGAATTCAAGATGCAATCCAGTATATCAAATGTAATTCTTGGTTCTTCTTTCTTCTTAGTTTCGCTTAAATATTTTTAAACCTGTTATAGGATAGTACTTTACAATTTTCACAGCTGTCCCTTAACTTTTCCTAGACATGTAGTAATTGGAAGATATTATTTGGATGCATATCACACTCTTCTTCCTCCTCCTCCTCCTCTTTTTCTTCTTCTTTTTTAAGGAAATTGACTGAAATTCAAGTTCCATAGTTGGCTCAAAAAATCAAAAGGAATGCTAAAGGCTGCTTTCCACCTGAGAAGAGGAGTGCTTTGGGCAGCTCCTTTGATTACAGAGGAGGTGAAAGGATTTAGGAGGCTGGAGCAATTAAAGGATAGGGTGTTTTGTTCACTGTGTAGCTTTATTTTTTAATTTAAAATGTATAAAAGTACAGAAAATAATATAACAAATCGCTATGTACTTATCACCTAGAGTGAACAAATATTTTRTCTTAGACACTTCTGATATTTTGTTAGTTTTCTCTTTAGTTTTGCTTGCAGATATTTTTAAATAAAGGAAAGTATTAGAGAGCTGACGTCCCCTATTTGTCCTCCCCAGATTCCTTCCTTCCCCTCTTCCATTCCAAAGGCAATAACAATCATGAATTTAATGTATCTGTATCTAGTCTACATAGTTTTGCATGTGTTCATAAACTATATAGTATCATTTTACAGGTTTTAAATTTTATACAAATTATGGATGTATAACAATTTCTCTATCAGAACTTCTTATTTAAGACCTTTTGGTAAATATATTGTAAAATTARTCCTATGATGATATCTTGTAAACTTATAAAATTTATGTTTCATAATTTGTAAAAACACAATTTTGATGTTTTAAAGATAATCAGTATATTAGGGAGCAAATTACATATTTTCCCTTCTCCTTAAGATGTCATTTTCTGAGTGATTCCCTCCTCTATGTTCTCAAATCACTTGTAAATTTTTTATTATAGTATTTATCTCATTAAAATATAACTATTATTTATCCACTCCTTGGTGAACTTCCCAAAACCAGATGCTCTATTTTTGTTTTTCTCATATTTGGCATATTTTTCATCAGTTCTCCCAGAGAAACTGAGTAAAATGTAGAGATGCATTATTATTTTCAGTATCTTTCCTTGTGGAAACTTTTTTTTTTTTYTTTTTTAGTGGTGCTGGGGATTGAACCCAGAGCCTTACTCATGTCAGGCAATCACTCTACCAACTAAGCTACCTCCCCAGTCTTTGTGGAAACTTTTTTAAACCCCAGAATACTTTGATTGTCAGACCAACTTCATTCATTTACTCATGAATGTAAAAGAAAACTCATGTTTTCTTTTTTTTTTCCATAATGTTTTCTGAAAGGACTACAATTAAGGAGTTAGTTTTATAAATATGAGGTCTGATTAAAATACCTATCATTATCCAGCATTTATTTATTTAGTTAGTTTTTGGGGAATGGTATTGGGGATTGAGCCCAGGGGTGCTTTACCATTGAGCTATAACCCCAGTTCTTTTAATTTTCCCCCCAGTTCTTTTAATTTTTAATTTTCAGACAGGGTCTCATTAAGTTGATGAGGCTGGTCTTGAACTTGTGATCATTCTGCCTCAGCTTCCTGAGTTACGGGGATTACAGACATGCATCACTGCTCCCAGCATTATCCAGCATTTCTTGACATTATCAATTCACCTCTTTAAGTACTTTGTTCATCATAATATTCATGTGTGAGAGCCTTACTTAACTTTTCTCTCATTGCTTATTCCAGTAGGCATTCATAAAGCAGCCAAAATGTTAACTAAACTAACTTAGCATTATTACTCTCTCTCCTGCTCTCTTGCTTGTATGTTTCATGCAGCATGGAATTCATCAGCAATTGGAAATGAAGTCTTTGTAAAGCAAACTTTCAAAATTCTTCTAACCATTCGACAAGCATTTGTTGAGACACTATTATGCAGCTATCATTATCCTGAACTGAGAAGAATATATAAGGTTCCTGTGAATAAACTAAAAAACAAAAAATTAAACAATTTGAGATAAAATATAACAATCAAGTGCAAAAAGGGACATGAAGAAGAGATCTGTGGAGAACAGAGTCTTTGGGAAAACTTTATGGAGAGAGATGGTTGGTTGACAAATGAAGGCACTGCAGATAGGGAAGATACCTTGAGTCATGGCTTTGGAGGTGAGTACTAATGAGTTTGTGTCCTGGGGGGAAATTGAAGAGATTGGTCTAATCAATGAGATGAAGCAATGAGAGTTTACTGGGGAATCAGACTAGGGAGGGTCTGTGTTACTAACAATCTGATGATGGAATCAATTTGGTTTGTGAGAAAGTGAGAGGTTTCCTTTAAAGTTAAACAAGGGAAATTCCAAGGGAACAGATTGGCAAGGTGTTGAAAGCAAGTAACAGCAGTTTGGAGATTATGAAACCTTCACTTTAGAAGATTTTTTAAAAATAAGGAAGGAGAGTCTGGGGCGCAGTGGAGCATGCCTATAGTCCCAGTGACTTGGGAGGTTGAGGCAGGAAGATTGCAAGTTCTAAGTCAGACTCAGTAATTTAGGGAGGCCATAAGCAACTTAGCAAAATCCTGTCTCGAAATAAAAAATAAAAAGGGCTGGGGATGTAGCTCAGTTATAAAGTGCCCCTGAGTTCAATCCCCAGTACCAAAAAGAGAAGAATAAAAAATTGGAATGGAAAAAAATTCATTGGAAAAGATCAAGACATGATTATTTCAAAAGACAAGTGTCTGAACTAGGGTATGCATGGGACTGGTAAGGGAAGGATAAATCTAGCAAAAAATTATAAAGGTAATTTTTAAAACTTAATTTTTATTTTATTTAAGTATGGCAGAAAAATCGATGGAGTTGCTATCTAGACTAAGTGTAATTATATGCATTATGTTAATCAGGAGACCTCCTTAGAGCGACCCTGGACCAAAGTTCTTTAAAGGTGTGCCTAAGGGAAACCCGCCCTCCACAGAGAGCTCCTTCAACTGTAAAGTGGTGTACTAAAATAAAACTATTTATTGCATAGGATTGTTTTAAAATTAATTCACGCAAAATGCTTGGTATATTGCCAAGCACACAGTAAGAATTTACTATACAATAGCAGTACTAACATCTTTACTACTCTACAGCTTCCCCCCCGCCCCCTCTGCCTTTTTCTGCGAGCCACTACGTTTTCAACAGGGCTGAGCGATTATTCCACTACACATAAGATCGGCTTCTAATCAGATCTAGATTTTGAAATATGAAAACTGTGAAATTATTAGGGCTGTGGTACCTATCTGGCAAGGGATAAAATGCATYAATAACATTTTTACTCAATCTCTTGGCACAGAATGACGCCTCCTTCTGATAGTCTCCCCCGACCCCAGACAGACAATAGTACATTCCACACTGCCGGCGGAATAGGTGTAGTGCCAAAGTTGAGCGCGCCAAGGGCTTCCTCTTCTCCCGGAAGCAATTTTTCTCTAGAACCGGAAAGAGTTGTTGTTTCAAGGGAGGCGGGACTGGGCGGGTCGGGCCGCTGCGGCTGACGGCGGGGGAGGAGTCGGGTCCACTGCCGGGTGGAGGGGCAAGGCGAGTGTCCTTATCCTAGCAAGTGGGGCTCGGGCCTGCGTGCCAGTTGGAGTCGCGGCGGCGGGAACGATTGGGCCGAGCGGAGGAAGACATGTTGCTCTTCGTGGAGGTGAGTGGACTTGGTAATCTTTTTCTCTGAGGAGAGCTGGAGTGTAGAGGCGCCGGCCGGTCCCACCGCCATGTGACTTTCCAGGCCGTACACGCCGCGGAACCGGCAGATAGGCTGACACAGCACCTGGGCCGTGCAGGCCTGCAGCTCCGCTCTGCGCACTCCCAACACTTTGGGAAGCTGTGAGGGTGAGGCCCATACCACGGGAGGACTGGAGGTGGGGTATCGGGGRCTTGTCTGGTTTGGCTTGAGGATCAGAGGAAGCGAAAAGTGTCCCATATGGATCTAAAGGAGGCGAACGGGCGGGGGTGGGGGGGCGGAGTCTGTCGGAGAAAAGGGTAATCAGGTGGGCGCGTTCTCGGGAGTGAGGCGAGGCCTCGCGGTGCCTCTGGGAGGAAGGCGAGCAACATGTGGGACCCCGGAGGGAGAAGGTGAAATGTGTTTTCTTGGTTTGTTTTGGAGTTTTATCGGGGGGCGGGGAGTGTTAGGTGTTTGGGGGAAAAAAAGCTTTTTTGCAGTTTCCACCATATTTTGTTCGGTCCATGTCCCTAAATCTCTRGAACGTTCTATGGGTGAAAACGAGTTACTGTGAACGGAGGGGAAGCCTGTAGGTCTGGAAGTCTTGAAAGGCACCGCTTTGACCTTTTGTAAAAGTTACTCAGGCGGCGACTGCGTGATGCGGGTTGGTTCTATGAACCGATAAAACCTCTTTACAAGGAAAATTCCAAGAATGAAAGAAACGTAGTCTGGGAAAAGCCGGTTTTTTTTTTTTTTTTGTATTGTCATTTGAGCAATAGAAATACTTTTATTACTTTAACTGGAACGTGTGCTCTTGACTTATTTTAGGTTTCAAAGTAGCGGTACCTGCCTTATACAAACGCGAACTTTAATTTCTGTCATTTCTGTCCTTCTGTTGTGTGCAGTGAGCGTCAGCTGACTGCCTAGCTAATACTTTGAGTAGATTCCAGATCTTATTGTTCTTATATTGTGAAAACATCCAACCAGCAAAGCTGCAACTTCGCAACTTGGGTTTTGTTAATCAAGCCGGTATAAAGAAGCTTTTCAATGAGGGAAGGAAATTACAGGTTGTATAATGGACTGAGATCTAGGAGCAGCCGGTGGAAAGTGTTTTGTGGGGTGGTGGGCTGGGAGAATTTTATTCCGTAGTATTCCTACAGAAAGTAAATGTAAAAAAGTATTTTTCTTTTAACCTAATAGTGTATTTCTAATAAGTCAAGTGATTTTTATTGTTCTGTGGTGCTGGGAATTCAATCCAGGGCTTCTTGCGTGCTAGGCAAAGTTAAGTGCTAAACCACTGAGCTACATCACCAGCGCAGAGATCTTTCAATTAAGTTTAAATCTACTATAGAGTATATCAATATTAATAATAAACATTCATTGGAATATTCCAAGCACATCATTAAAAGGTTTAAAATTGCTGAACTCATTCTGCCTGTTCATCCTTTTAAAATCCATAGTTTTCTTCACAATAAGAAATCCGATTTGATTTTAAGCCAGTGCTAGTTTGTTTTAGGAATGTTATGCCAAGCAAATACTACATAGTTTTAAGTTTATGTATGTTTTGTCAGGCAGAAGATTGTGCAGTTTGCATTATATCAACGTGAATTCCAAAGTAAACTTTTTAGAGTTTTAGATTGATTCCTTTGGTGTTATTAATTGTCAATTTCAGTAATAGGTGCATTTWTTGAGTAAGTACCTCTAAAGTGATATTGCAGCATTTTACAAAGAAAGAAACTGAGGCAAATGGTAGAACTGGAATTTAGGGTAAGCCTGTAATCCAAGCAGTGTGGGAAGTTGAGGCAGAAGGATCACAAGTTCAAAGCCAGCCTCAGCTACTTGGTGAGATCCTAAGCAATTTAGTGAGACCCTGTCTCAAAATAAAAAACAAAAAGGCCAGTGGTAGGTGCCCCTGGGTTCAGTCTTCAGTAACAAAAACCAAAAAAACCCTGGGAGTTAGATTCAGGGGATTCTAATGTCAAATCAGTCCTCACTTCCCAGTTTAGACAGCTCTAACTTATCTTACTAAACTATTATGTAAAGTTAATATTCCTATTAATCAGTTCTTCATATCATGAGTTGTTTTTTTTTTTTTTAAGAGAGAGAATTTTTAAAATATTTATTTCTTTTTTAGTTCTCGGCAGACACAACATCTTTGTATGTGGTGCTGAGGACCGAACCGAGCCGCTCGCATGCCAGGCGAGGGCACTACCGCTTGAGCCACATCCCCAGCCCCATATCATGAGTTTTATTGAAGATTAACAGTGTGATTAAATATTTGATACTGAACATATAGTGTTAAAATCTTCAAAAATAACGCTTTGGTCATTTGGCATTTTCCTAATATTTGATTCTTAAARCCTCATGATACAGGAATTATTCTCAGTGAGGGGAAACAAAGCTCAGAAGTTAGATGTTTAAAGTAATTCAGGTGTAAATAAGGTGGGACTAAAGTCTGAAGTCTGGCTTTCAGAATACAAGTCTTTGGCTCGCCAGGATTCTTCATTTAGGTTCCTGGATAAAACTGGAGAAGTACCTTAGTTGAGGTTGAGTTTGAGGAAAAAACTTGCCTGTTTATTTTCCTTAGCTTTTGACAGGAATCTAGATGGAAAAGAATCAAAATTTTTTTAAATTCAAAGAAGACAGCAGAGTTTGTGACTTTGTCACCAAGAGAAAAACCAGGTTTTTCATATTAGAGGTTTTATAGATATCTTGAAATATTGTTTATGCTCATTACTCCTTTTTTTTTTAATTTTTTTTTTTAATATTATTTTTGTTTTTTTTTTAGTTCTCGGCGGACACAACATCTTTGTTGGTATGTGGTGCTGAGGATCGAACCCAGGCTAGCGCGCTACCGCTTGAGCCACAACCCCAGCCCTCATTACTCCTTTTTATATGTTTAGAAATTTACTTAAAGGACATTCACTACCATATTAGACGTTTTAAAATATTTTGATAACTATATTTCAATATTACTGGTTTGCTTTGTAATCCTATATATTTCAGGTGGTGTTTTAAAAGAGTCTGAGACCTGTTTGTAGTGGTGCACCTCCCCAAGGGCTGGGGAGTCTGAGACAGGAAGATCATAAGTTCAAAGCCAGCTTTGCAATTTAGCAAGGTGCTAAGCAATTTAGAGATGCCCTATCACGAAATAAAAACGGCTGGGGGTGTGATTAAGTGCCCCTGGGTTCAATCCCTAGTATGTACACATACACAAAATTCAGAGAAGAGATCCATAGATCAATCAGACTAAAGAAGTCTGGCACGAAAGGTTAAGAACCACTTTATTAAATGAAGTTGCTTGTGGATATTATCTTTGGCAGAGTTAATCTGGGATCCATGACTCCTCTGTGGTTGTGATTGAAATATTACTTGCATGTATTTTTTTTCCCAAAGAGACGCCCAACTTAAATAGTTTTAACTGGAATTGGTGGGATAGTTATAGATGGACAGAATGCCTTGATTTTATTTTTATATGGTACTAAGGTTCAAACCCAGTGACTCACACATGCTAGGCAAGTGCTCTGCCACTGAGCTAAAGCTCCAGGCCTGGTCTGGAAATGTTTCATCCCCATGTCTCAGCCTCCTACGTTTGTGGCACATTAGATGTTTTTGCATATATATATATATATATGTATATGTATGTATATATCCGCTCAAGCTTCACATCTCTTTGAGGTATTCTTATCCCCATCTTAAAGATAAAAGAAACTAAGGCACAGAGAACTTGTCAAGATTATATAGCTAATTAAAGTTGAAGCTCGAATTAGATCTCATAAATCATAGTTATTTTGTAATAGACATCTAAAGGCAGATAAGGAATACTTATATGCAATTTTTTTAAACTTGGACTTTTTTTTCTTTTTCTTTCTTTCTTTTTTTTGTACTGGGGATTGAACCCAAGGGTACTTTGTCACTGAGCTATATCCCCAGCCCTTTTTATTTTTTATTTTGAGATAGGGTCTCACTAAGTTCCTGAGACTGGCCTGGAATTTGTGATCCTCCTGCCTCACTCTCCCTGGTCACTGGGTTTAATGCCAGCAGACCTGGTTTAACCTTCTCTTTCATCGAGGGACTATTTTGATTTAAGGTAGTTTGTGTATTTTGTTTTGTTTTTTGAAGACACCTATGTTCTGAGACAGTTTCTGTCTGGGAAGAGGGGAAAAAAGTATGGATAATGTACAAAGTTGTCAAATGTGACCTGACTTAAATTCCTTTACAGCATATTTTGTATTTTAAACAGTGATATGTGCCCTTCTTCCATGTGCTGTCAAGTTGTTTAAAACTTTTGAGCATCTGGAGACAGGTTGTAATTTTGTTAACATGTTGATCGTTTTTCAGACCATATTCCCTCATTAAGTTGTTGAGGCTGGCCTCTAACTTGAATTTCTCTTGCCTCAGTGTCCCAACTTGCAGGGATTTGCAGATGTGTTCCATCACTCCTGGCCAAGATAATTTTTTTTTTTTTTTTAATTTTTACTATTTAGTTTTTAGTTCTC